TCCACCCCCACAGAATGTCTCTGGTCTATGGTTGTTCATTATTTTTGTTATTTTCTCGCCTGGTCCATTATACTCCTGCTATGAGTGAAACTCACCTTAATTTTTAAAGTATATTTTTATTGGACAGTGAATTCTAGTTTGGCAGATTTTGTGATTTGAATTCTTTAAATATACTTTTCCAATGTCTTTGGGTTCCACTGCTTACATTGTCTATCTATTTTTATATATGGTATTCTTTATCTATTGAACACTTATCAATAAGTAATTTTGGGGGCCTCCCTGGTGGCACAGGTTAAAGATACAGTGCTATCAAGCTACTGCTAACCACTGTAGTATGAGTTTGATCCAAAACCAGGGAGCCATCCAGATGGCCTGACAGACCTCTCCTGACCCACCCGCTGCTCCCCTCAGCAGTGCATTTCAGTAGAGCTGCCTGTTCTGTTCCCCTCTCTGTTCTTGGTGAATCCTCTTACTCCCCCACATCCCAGTTCTTATATGCATAAATAAATATTTTTTAAAAATTTATTTTTGGCATATTAATCATAGTTATTTCAGGTTCTCAGTAGATAATTCCAAAATCCCAGTCATGTCTTGATGGTTGCTCTTTCTTTCCAAATTGTATTTTTTGCCTTTGGGTATGCCATGCTATGAAATACGTGCAAAAGGAACTGCTATAAAAATAGGCTTTTAGCAATGTGTGGTGGTGAGGTGTTGAGTGAGTGGAATATCCTGTAGCCTTACAATAGGACCTTAAGACTTTTGGTAAGTCTAGATAAGTCCTGGACTGTGAATGTTATCTGTGCTTCTAGATTCTTTTTGCAATTTCCCTTAGATGGAAAAGAAAAGATAGAACTGACTGGAACTGAATATTTCCCTTCTCCCAGTGATAATTCGCAGTGAGTTAGGCTTTCATTAACTGGTTTTTCCTGAGTGCAGGCATTCTGAAAAACATAATGTTCTGGTATATTTCTAATTGGTTCCTTTTCCCCTCCTTCTGCCAGAAGCATGAGGGGATTTTTCTTTGACATTTGCTGCATTAATCTGGTCAAGATCTCAACAGGTGAATCTCACAGAACTGTGGGGACCCCCTATTGCTGGGTATTTAACTTTCAGAGTTGTCACACAGAGATACAACAGTACAGCAATTACAGTTCAGATTTCTCTGCTTTTGCACTGGTTCTAGACTCTTGTTCTTGTTTTTTTTTTTTTCCTCCCCTTACGAGTCTCTGCATTAGTAAATCACACTTCCCTCTGTTTACCTCTGTTTTTCCAATTTGGGGAGCAACTATTGCCTTTTAGGCCCTCATCTGTCTTACATATCCTGGAAAAGTTACTGAGTTATCAGTTATTTCCTGGTTTTTAGGATGAATGGTGACTTCTAATCTCCTAACATACAGAAATGGAAGTCTTATGTTCAATTCTGTGCTTCATTTGCATATTTTCTTGTCTTCAAGTTCACAATTCCTGTTTTCTCCCATGTCCCATCTGCACTAAGCCATCCAATAATCCTTTAATTTAAACAATTTTAAACAAATTCTTCACAGTTCTAGGAAGTTTGTTGTTTCTTTTCTCTGCTGTCCATTCTCCGTTAAAATTATGCATCCAGGGCCCTCCCTGGTGGCGCAATGGGTTAAAGCACAGCACTGAGAAGCTAAAGCAACTTCCGCATGAGTTAGATCCCTTCCCACCCCAGAGGTGACCACATGGTGTGGCAGACCTCTCCTGACCCGCCCGCTGCTCCCCTCAGCAGTGTACTTCATCAATCTGCCTGCTCTGCTCCTCACTCTATCTCTGGTGAAGTCTCTCGCCACCCCTGAGCCTCTGGCCAGTTCTGTATGTACAAAAAAATAAATCTTTAATAAAAATTATGCATCCATTTTGGTTTGCTTTTCTTCTATTTCGTTTAAAACATTGTTAAAGTTTTTGTTAAACCCAACAAAATTTTTCTAGTATAAATATTATGTGTAAAAGAATTTTATGAATGTCTGTCTTATTGCCTCTATTTAGGCAGACAGCACATATATTAAAATCAGAGTATTGGTGTTGCTTTAACATAACTCTATTGTAACTATAAAATATTTTTCATCCAAAAAAAATATTTTTCATCCAAAAGTTTGTAAACATTTCTATAACAGCTGTACTAGCATATAGTCAGGGGTTTTTCCACTCATATACAGATTCTTTCCATATACCATATATGAAAGAATCCACTTTCCTGAGATTTTTAACTCTAGATCTTCAACTATTCAAGTTAAATAGATCCACATTTATCTGTGAGTTCCTAGTACCTAACAAACATAGTAGATAGTTCAAAAGTGTTCATGAGAAAATGGTCAACTAATAGCAAGCCCAAATTTGTTACTCATTTTAACTTACAACATGAAATGGTTTTAAAATTAGCTAAAAATTATGACAAAAATTTGCACTACTATGCAGTTTGAGGCCTCCCATATTAATAGCATAAAGGATGTTTTCTTACCAGCTCTTCTGAGACCTATATGGTGAGAAAGTGATATAGAAGATGACCTTTGCTTCGGGATTGTCAGTAGATTTGAACTGAAAGGCCCATTTAGATAGCATCCTTGACTGAAAGAGAAAGAACAGGTTAAAATACTCCAATTATGGAAAATGTCCTATTTTTTCTTCACAATCTTCAATTTAATTAGTAAATATCTCTTTATACATTTAGAGTTTAGACATCTTATTATTCTAGTGTCTATGGTTTAAAGCAGGAGTCAGCAAATTTTTTTCTGTAAAGAACCAAATAGTGCAGGCCATAAGGTCTCTGTTGCAGTCACTCAGCTCTATCTCTGTAGCTATAACAATAAAGCAAATTAAATATGACTATGTAGCAATATAATTTCATTTATAAAAGCAAGTTATTGCCCACATTAGGTCCAAAGACTGTAGTTTACTGAATCCAGGCATGAAACAGGTTGTCATCTACAACCCAGATTGCTATTCCCATCCTAAAAATTCTGATCAGTAAGTCTGAGGTAGAGCCAGAAAATAGGCCCTTCTAGCTAACACGTTTTAGATGTTCCTACTTGTACTGGTCCCATGGATCTCATTGATTATAATTGACTAAAATAGTTTTCTGTCCCTGGTTTTCATAATTATTGATTACCTGTTAACTCAGTCTTTTCTTATACCTGAAATACTTATTATGGATTTTAAAGCTTTTATGAAAAATTAAATATAGGTAGGCAATCAGAATATACAGAGTGATACATAAGAAGGTTTGGGCCTAGTGGCATGCATATAGCAAATACACCAAAAATACTGCATCAGTGTAGGCTAGGTTCTCAATAAGTTCTTCCCCAATTCCTTCATTTTTTCTGTACTAGTATATCCCATTACTCAGGGCAGATCTATTTTTGAATATCTAAGTAGATATTCTTTATGTTTCTATTATAACTTGTCCCATAGCATGTTATAATTTCATTGCTTACACATTCTTTTCCTTCACATGTGTGTAAATTCCTTTGGGGCTACAGATACATCTTTATATTCACAATGGATATAGCACAGCACCTAATACAGGTATTTGACAGATGTCTGTGTGATAAATGAATCATCCTTTCTTTAAATTCCTAGTTTTTCCTCTGGTAGAGAACTTTCTTTTTGCACCCCAATTTTGAGTTCTGTATTAAAAAGGAAAGCTCATAAAACCAGTTGGTGGCCACTTGATTAAAAAGGTTTTATTGACATTAACAAAATAATAGTAGTTTTGAAACTGAGGCTTCTAGAGACTAAGTCCCAAAATTCATAGTTGCAGAGCTAAAATTCAACATCCAAATTAGCAGTAATAATTTGTTGACAATGTTACAAAGAGAAGTAATATGAAATAAGAATAATATGAATAAGAAACAATACCATCCAATAAACTCATCTTCCTGCCAGTGTTTACTCAGTCTTTGTATTTGAGTATTGTTTACATAAGGAATGGAAGAAACTGGGAAAGAAGAGTAACAATACCAGCTATCACAGAAAGATTTTGAACAGAGATCTCTGTACTATGTTAGTCTACTCCCTAATTAATTTTTCAAGATAAAGATAGAGATTTCTCCTTTATAGAACAAACCCACTGCACTGTTCCATAGTATTCTGTTTTTGTACAAGGTCTGCTAATAGTTGAAATAAAACAAACATCCAGTTAGTTGTATAGAATTGATAGGGAAAAGCCAAGTTATGGGTTTTCAGTTTACTTCCAAAATCATCTCATTAATTCCTGCCCATAAGACTACATAAATGTACACCCCAATGAGATTACATAAAACAGTACTAAAGAAAGAAGACCACAAGGTAGGCTAGAATTATTAGTGATAACATAGTTGGCAGGAAGGAAATCCAAGTTAGACTTGGAATCAATCTTTAAATCTAAATGCACAAAGATTACAAGAGATGTCCAAAGTTAGGTGACAAGTTAAATGACATATTAAGAATCAACTTCCAGACAAATCAAAAATTACCTTGAAAAGATATTTGTCACCTCATTCATATTTTTAAAAATTGTATAAATATGTTCTATGTATAGAGTCTAGATTTACAGAGTTACTCTCAAGAAATTGAGTGGAATAATACCACTGCAGTTCAACCAAGGTTCAGGCATTGATAAAAATCTCTGATAAATTATGAGACACACAACTGAAACACTGGTCACAACATACATTATTTAGGGGAAGTCATCTTGCCAAGCAACAAGTTACTAGATTAATTTACAAAGCACCTCTGAAGATGAATCAGAGAATAGGTTAAAAGCAAGTCTCTTTAGAAATAGAGTTCATAGCCTACAGAGTTTTGGGAGTAATTTGCCTAATACCGGAGCACCTCCTCCCCCCCCCCCCCCCGCCCCGGACCAGGGAAGTCTGTTCAGAGGGAGTGAACTAGTGAACTATGAACCATGAATTTGTCCTTAGAGAGGGCTGGGATCCTAGCAACTAGCCCAGTGATGAGAGTTTAAGTCATCCCTTTTAACCATATGCTCTAATACTGCTACTCAAAAATGGGTAATTCGATTGTCACCTAATCCAGACAAATATTATTTAGCCTTTCCTGGAACACCTGACAAGAGAAATTCATCCTAAGTAAAACTTAAGCTGTAGGCAGTATCAACTGTTACAGTCTAATATGGACTCATACCCTGCAATATATATATTTGTTGGGCAATTTTTAATCTTTAACAATACAATTTCATGTAAGTCCAAACATTTTACGGTAATAAAGTAGATATCTTAGAAAACTGCCAAAAATAGGCAAAGAAAAGATGCTAAGAGAATTCAGAGGTAAAACAAATAACTTTTCCCTAGGGCTCAAGGGAGAAGGATGTCAGGGTGTTGTTATTAAGAGGTGAAATCTGAGCCCAGTCTTTAAAGATAAACAAAAATGAGGTTGAGAAGAACTAGTGAAGATAGAACAATGAAAGAGGGCAGGTGCCACAGTGGACAGATAGAGGTGATGTCCAATAGTTAATCTTGATGGGAATTTCAGATAGAGAAATGATGTTAAAGAGGTATTTTTTTGTATTATAAAGAAATGGCCTTCTATAATTAATTAAGTCTTAAGTCCTCTAAGATGAAAGTTGGTAACAAACTCTTAAGGGTATGTGAAATGGGCTATTCAAGTGACATTATTTCTTTTCTTCCTTGTGTTTTTCTTCCATTGAATTTCTCTTATAGCTATGATGATGTTACTTTAAAATTTTTTCTTCAAGATGGAAAAAAGCAAAATTAGATTCTACATTACTCTTGACACAAATATGGAGAATCAGCTTAATTTTCAAATGGAGTTAAGTCAAAAACAAAATATCTGGGGACTTCCTGGTGGCATAAGGAATTAAGTCTCAGCACTGTGAAGCAATCCAAAGCCACTGCAGCACAGGGAGGTGACCCACATAGCACAGCAGACATGTCCTGCCTCACAGGCTAGCTGGTCCCATAAGCAGTGTATCTCAGTGGATCTACCTCTTCTGTTCTCCAACCCAACCCCTCAACCCTCACCCACCCCCCCACACCCTTAGCCACACCCTAGCTAAACAAACAAACAAACAAACAAACAAACAAACAAACAAATAAATCTTATTTTAAGAAAACCTGAAAACTTCAAGGAAAAGTCTAACACAAGTTTCAGGCCTGTTATTTTCACCTGAGAGCTTTCCAAGTCATTTTTCTATTCTCACTTAAAAACTCTCTCTCCTTGTTTAAAAATTTTTTTTTCTTTCATCATTATTCATTTTTGTACCATAATTGGTTTCTCCCCTGAGGTCTATTCTCACTCTTTGCAAGACTGCCCGTCTCTGTTAATTGACTTAATTTTTCCAAGAAAGGATGCCAATTAGTCATGAGGGAGTAACAGGGTTTTTTTGAATACTAGCATAGGAATCTGCATACCGTCCTACAATCATTTGTAAGGATCCAAAAACTTAATGACTAGAAAAACCTAGTCAAAGTTTTGTTTATGGAGATTTCTGTTGGAAAAGGAGAAGATGCATCTGGTAATTATGGATATTAAGAATGGGAAGATCAATTAAGAGGATAATTTAATCATCCAGGTAAGGAGTAAAGTCTGAAACGGTGTAGGCAAAGTGACAAGTAAGAAGAACAGAGAAGAGATGCAAAAATTGATTCTGACAATTGATATCTGCAAAGGAAGGTAACAAGATGCAAAGGTAACACCAAGCTTTTTAGGTCAATCAATGTGGTTAGTAACCATTAATCTAATGGACAGCAACATTATTCCAGGAAGGGCAAAACAAAAATAACAGATGAAAAATTTGGTTTCAAGCAGTTTCAGGGAATGAAAGCTTCAATATTGAAATGATGTTTAAATCATAGGGTTATTTAAAATCAGTTAGAGAAATTGCTCAGCTTCAAAGGTACATTCAGATCAAGACTAAAAAATCTAAGGTAAATCATATGATTTCAGTTCTAGAGAAATCTAATACAATCAAGTGTCTCATGATTCCTGAGTCACAAATCATATAGATTCATGCTATTATAGCTTCCTGAACAAACATTACTATATATTAAAGATCCATAGCTACAATGTCTAATATGATTATCATATATGATAGTCACAAGCCTCTTCATAATTAATTTTAAATTCTCTCCCCTAGTTAATATTAGACATGATTCAAGTGCTGTATAGCAATATGTACCTACAGACTACTTTACTGGACAGTACAGACTTAAAATATCCCCATCATAACAGAAATTTCTGTTGGACAGAACTGATCCAGAGACTGGACTTCAAAATGAATGATCTCTACAAACATTAGATATTCTCATCTTATCCTGTTTCACTTGGAAATTTATTATGGAGGAACTGTAGGTTCTGCATACTAGAAAAAATTACTTCTAATCTCATCTCTTTGAAGGAAATGTTATACGATAATTACTTTATTCTTCAAATCTCTAAACCTTTTATGAGACATGGTTTTGTTTTAATGAGGGTTAACATATTGAATCTGCATACATTTACCTTTATATGAACACTTTTCAGAGTTAAAGATTACTTTTCTTTGGGTCATGTTTCTATTTTAACATTAATCATCTGAAGAAGTAGAACAAAAATGACCTTAACTCAATATATCAAATGTTTCTTTAATTGCGAATGTGTACTTTTACTGCAGTGTGGTAAAGAGGTTAAAAAACAGAATTATTCATATCATTTTTTCTTAAACCCAACACTATATTCAAGATGATATTTCCTATGATTAAGAAATAGGAGTCAAAAAAAAAAAAAAGAAAAAAAAAAGAAATAGGAGTCACATTTTCTGTTTGAACATCATTCATGCTGCCAATCTATCAGTTTAGATTCTGAGCAAGTTTTAGACCAAAGCTTATTTTCCTGCACTATACTCTCCACTCAAATCATTCCTCTTTTACATATCATTCTACCAATTTTTTTCCTTTACAAATACAGGTGTTCACCTACTCAGATATATTATAGACATTCAAATTAATCACAAAGTAATCTGTGATATTACATTTTTCTGATATTTTCTATATAAATGTTCACATAAATTTTATCAAATAAGTAACTGCAATCCAATCCTGCCATCTACTGTTTCAAAGGTGTAACTATGCAGCTCAATGTAGTCAAAGTATACAGAAGCTGAGTAAAAATAGTAGTTTAAAGGGAAATTCACACTAATTTCTTGTTTTGTTTAGCATAGGTAACTAAATAGGAGTTCTAAACTCAAACAAAACAAAAAATAAATGTTTCCTGGCTTGTAAAAGGCAAAGTATTAACTCCTTTGTGATTATCAGAATAAAAGGGTATATTTACATTCAGAAGACTTTAGTTCCTACATTTTCCAAGCCTCACTTATTTGTTCTTGCTAACAATCTTCTATTGGTAGGACTATTACTACTTAGTTGCAAGTAAATCCTCAACAGCATATAGAATATATCAGTAGTCTTAGTCTCCTAGCAGGAATAATCTTGCTACCTGCTGTGTAACTTGAGATAAACCCTAGAAGTTTTCCCCTTCTTTCATAAATCGGTTACTCTGATGACCCATCTCTAGATATCATGTACCGGACTGGTGACTGCTCCTGTACTGGCCTTCTCTACCAATTTATACATTTCCCTACTACTTTTCTAAATTGAGCACATTTCCCTTAGCTTCATCCCCGAGTCATGTTTTGAAGGCTCCAGCATGATTTGAACCCAAAGTTTATTTGCTTCATTTTAAGAATTAATTTCTCTCTTATGCCATATTACTGCACATGCTTTCCTAGACTAAAAGACTTGAAACGCTTGGTGTGCTTTTAAAATTATTTCAAACTTCATTCCCAGAAACAAAATGAACACATTTAGATTAAAGTTTCTTGGAAAAGTTCTGGGAATTACCTTGAAATGCCAAATTCTTGCTGAGGTCTTCTGCCATTACTGCGTTCCCACCGTGAAGAAGACTGTTCAGTAAGCGGCAGACCTGAAGTTCCTGAGCTCCTCCTCAGCTGTGGAATTGGCAAGCTAGTCCTACTGTTTAGTCCCTGTTGAATAATTTAAAACTGGTTAAAATTGTTACCCCTTAGTATGCTGCATATGTGACACTAAAGCTGGCATTTAAAATATTAAAACAAAGCATATTTTTAACAGATACAGGAGAGACAGAACATTTTGTCCTGGAAATCTGACCCTCTGCCGCAAATTTTACATTCTGTACTGCTGAATTTATCTTATTTCAGCAAAAAAATGATATATAAGTTTCCCAAAATTCAACTATTTTCCTTTTGTACATTTCACTCTAAGATAATTGACAAATTACAGCAGGTATGAAAGATTTACCCTGAAAAAGAATTTCAAAGGATAAGCTTAGAATTAGGGATGATCAGTCCTATATTCTAAATCATTTACATTTTCAGTATTATGCTAATGTACATAGAAGTTAACTGAAGAATTCTGAGCACGCTTTTGAATTAATGATTAAAATCAGAGGCTTTCTTATTAACTATAGTTATTATCTAGGTTCCTATAATATTCCTTTGTTCTTAATGTAGATAACACATTTATATTAAATGAATGTTTTAACTCCCTTTTCCTAATATTTTCCACAAATGCTATAGCTCTTTAGTGAATTAACGTCAGGATATTTATATTCTTTTTCACAAGCAGGAATAAATTAGAAATTAGAATTTCATGAGAAGTTTAAAAAAGGAAGAAATAGGGGTTACTTCCTTATTATGTGATTTATTCCTATTACATTCTAGAATGAAAGATAAACTTGCCTAGCCAAACGTTAAAAAACTGAGACATTTAGGCATCCTGTTTAATTTAATATCATTAAAGTGTTTGTTAAATGCACCAATACACGTTTCTACGTATTAACATAATAATACACATACACATCAGCTTGATTTTAAGATTTTTAATTACTAGTTTAAAAATTATTATTCTAAAATCAAATGTTGATAGACAATACAAGGAATTACTCTTCCTTTTTTATACTTGTGATTAAACCACATTCTTATTAGTAGAGCACTTTAAAAAGCCATAAAGCTAAGTACCGTACTTAATTCAATTTAAAAAAATTTTTCTAGTTTATTAGGTTTTCACCAATAGAGGTACTATTGTATATAATTTTTAAAAATGAAAGGATCTCTTAATCTATTATCCAGATTTGTGATTAATAATTTTCAAATCTTTTTGTTTTAATCAGGCTTAATCTTTCAACATTTTTAAATCCTAATAATGTGAACTAACAAAAGGAAATTAACTGATAAATAACTACTTTTTCCTAAACTCTATAAACATTATTAAAATAAGCAAAATTAGCTGATTTGAATTTTATTGCCTTTGAGTTAGTTTCTTTATCTGTCAAGTGAAGTAAAGAAGAATGTAGAATGTTTTTAAAATTATGATTTTATATATTAGTACAGGATTGATAAAAGAATCAAGGAAAACAAGTAAAGACAGTCTAAACAAGCACAATGTATACTTATTTAGAACAGTATTATTTTCTAATGGAAATCCCATTTTGAAGCACTGATTTTTAAGAAGAAATTATTCCCATATTTAATGAAATAAAAATCATGTTTATGAAACAAAAATCAATGCCTACTAGATTTTAGCAATCTCCAGTGAATAAAGAGGGGTTTGGGAGGGAACAGAGATTTATAAAGTAATGTAAAAATCTATTTAAAAGAGTGCTTTGTAACTCATAAAGTGAGTATTATAATTTGGTCATTTCTCCTGTTTCAACAAAAACAATTACTGGATTCTGAAGAATAGAATAGTGATATGATTTGACTCCTTGTCTGTTGTATAAACCTGAATTAAATTTGCTTCTACTTCTTTACAAAAACCAAAGGAACATTAACAATAAATAGTTGTAACTGTTCATTACAGCCATGTTATTTAGAGTAAAAATCAAAGACTTGTTCAGTTATTTGTGATTTTAACTGTCTCTGAAGTCCCAAGCAACTCATACTGTAAAAGAAGTCCTTGAAAAATAAGTGATAAATAGGGCTAACTGATTACTGTATTATGACCTTGTGAAGTTTTCGATCTCCTTTCTCAGCTGGGTCCTCTATTTCAGTGCAGGGGTAAAATCCAGGAAATGGTGTGAGCGGATTAATCTTTGGCCTACAGGAACCTGAGAAAGCACCCATCAAACTACTGATACTCCGGAGAGAAGAAATGACTTGTGGAGGAAGGTTTGGATCAATCAGAAGATCTGACACCATATTGCGAGCCTCATTTAGAACAGAAAGATCAACTCCACTTCCACCTCCAAAATTCTACAAAAGAAAAAAAAGTATAATCATGTATCTGTTACATAAAAAATTTACCATTTAAGGAAAATTTAACCAAGTTTAAATCAACATTCATACAATAATATGTAAGATATTTAACTCAAGTATAAAATTTTCATTTATGTGGACATGTCATAAATGGTGGTAACAAAAAATTTTATGAGGTATATTGCAGATATTGTGCATACACCTTTATTCCTAACAGTGTATGTGAATTATTCAACATCTCAACTGTTTAGTTTCTTCACTGTAAAATGGAGATAACACCTACCTCATTAAAGGCTGTTCTGAGAATTAAATCTGATAATATACATAAAGAATATAAACTATATATTTAATGCATAGAAAATGTTAAGTGAAATAATTACTACTATCAATATTGTAGGAAATAGTGAGGTAAGAAATAAAAAAAATAGTATAGGAGAAAGGAGATATAGCATTAACTTTGAACTAAATGGCTAAAAACTTCAGGAGGTAGATACAGAGTTAGATAATCCCCATGACCAAGAAATTAAAAGGAATGAATGAAAACACAGAAAAGTTGATCAGAGATTTTAAAAAAAAAAATCAGAAAAAAAATGTGAATGACCTGAGAAAATTAATGAACATAATGAACAGAAGGAGAAATAGGAGCTTAACTAAAAAAGTAATGGAGATTCAGTGTGTAAAATGATGAGTAGAGGAAATAATTATGGAAGAAGGTATGGAATAGCTTCCAAAATAGAACCAGTGGAAGACTGAATTAGTGACTGACTATGAAGACAGCAATACAAAAAGAATCCAGGTGAGAGAAAATAAGAAGAAAAAAAATTTTTAAACACTTCAAGAATTACTCTACTCCCTCAGAAAAAGCAATGTATTGATAATGGATATTCTAGAAATGGAAGAGAAAAGGGAACACTGCAAGCTAGTTGCAGCCACTTCAGTGCAAATTCGATCCCCCACCCCAGACATGATCCACGTAGCGCAGCAGACCTCTCCTGCCTCATCCTCTGCTCCCCTCAGCAGTGTACTTGGTTCATCTGCTGTTCTGCTCCCCACTCTGTCTCTCACCACACCTGGACCTCTGGCCTATACCCCAGTTCTGTATGCATAAATAAATAAATCTTTAAAAAAAATTAGAGTATTTAACCACAATATTCACATGATGTTTTTATTTTCTCTATATACATGAAGTTTACCTCAATACCCATGGTAATAAGTGTATTCATTGATAATAACAATGAATTGAATGTTACATTTGTTTATTTTATTGAACTTTTGGGATTCATAATTACTCAAACTAATGAATTCACTATACTACTGGTTATTTAAAGTATCCTCAACACATTTTATAATTAAGATATTACCATAGTTAGACCAATAATTGCCTAAATATTCTTTATTCTCCTTGAAATATTTTTCCTTCATTAAGTATTAGTTTGTATTAGTTTTTACTTTAAAAGTTTCCATTATTGGGGCAGAGCTGAGTTACTTTAGTCTTTATGTACTATATATGACGTTTTAACAAATACCTCTCTGTATGTGTCACTATAGATAATTAGGCATACTTCTGAAAAATAGCCTCCCATAACTTGAATTGCTGAACAAAAGTGAACATGTTAAGCGTCCATCATTACTGTAAAGCTGTCCTCTCTGTACTTCCATAAATTGTATCTAATAGCACCTATTTTCTGACACCCACATGAAAAATTTGCTGTCACTTGAGTTGCTGATTCTCAATAAGTAATGCGTCATTTCTTTTTGATTGCTTTCAGGGTAGTTTCTTTGTCTTTAGTTTTCAAAAGTTTAATTATGACATGTCTTACAGTAGATTGTTCAGAGGGGGCTGGCTTTTGAGCCTATTTAGATTCAGCATTTTGAATTTCTAAGATAACATCTTTCACAAAATATGAGCTTTCAGTCATTATTCATTTACTGTTTTTTTTTTTTTTTTGCAAATTACTGTATATGATCAGAGCTATAGGATCATACGTCTTCAGATGTTTAAGTATCGTTTTAAACCCATTCTTTCTTTTTCCAACACAGATGATATGAATATTGTCCTTTAGATCCCCATGGTTCTTTTCCTATTGTTTCCATATATTTTCTCTATGTTCAAATTGGATATATTCTTTAGATCTAGCCTCAAGCTCACAGTTAGTAAGCAGAGCGTATTTAGTAAGTTTTAAATTTTCATATTGTTTTTTTCAGAATCATCATTACTGTTTATTTCTTTGCTGAGATGTTCTATTTTCATGTATTTGTTTCAAGAGAATTTTTAATTGATTATTACAACACTATTTTAATAATTCCTTGCCAGAGAATTTAAAATCTAATTCCTCTTGGCATTAGCATTGATTTATTTTCTCTGTTAAACAGTTATTTTCCTGGCTCTTGGTATGATGGGTCATTTTAAATTTTGGTGATAGAAGTATCATTTTATCAACATTCACCATATTGCATTTTTTATAGTTGAAGGCTCAGATGATGATTAGCATTTTTAACACTTTTTTAAATTATGTACTATTTTTTAGATAAGATGCTATTGTATGTTTCATGGACATTATAATGTAAACATGTATCTTTTATGTGCACTGAAACACAAAAACTCCTTTGACCTGCCTGCTTAACTGCGGTACTAGTTTTATTGTAGTGGTCTGGAACCAACGGTGTGATATCTGGGTCCACATAAGTCATTCACACAGGAGGTAGTCTCCCTGTTTATATTAAGCACACAGGTGCTAGTCTGCTTTTTCAGGCTATGGTTCTAATGACAATTTAATGTTCAGGCCATTTACAGATATATGTTGATCTTACCTGTTGGTGCTATAGAGAGGGTAAGATCAAGTGGTGTAGAGGTTCTTCTTCAGTTTGGTACCTCTAAGCAGGGAGGGGAATCTAAAGACCATAGGAACAAAGAACACTGTGTGTACTGGCAACTGTTGTTTGGGTAGCCCTTGATGGGTCCCATGGCCACCTGCTGTTTGTATAGTGGAGTTCCCAATCATTCCTCTTTGTTGGAACCAACAAAATGATCTAGTGATATTGGTGGACTCACATTCAATTTTAAGAGAGAAACACTCTGTTGCTAGTTTCTAGGAAATTGGGATTAGGGTTGCCATCTGCAGTTGGCTGGGGCCCTTAACTAGTCCATTCTCCTCCTCTTGCCATTTATCAGAGTTCTCCCTTGATTGTCTTTTACATTATTTCCAGAGTTAATCATTGTACCTCGCAGAGAAGAGCAAGGGGGACGTACCGTGATTATACATGCAGACCATATAAAGCCCTGTATAGCACTGCTGGGTAAAGAACAATAAATATTATTGTTATTATGGAAGAGAGATAATACAGATAAAATGGTATGAGTGTGCAAAGAAGATATAATATGAATTAGACTGATATTTAAAAATCAGTTAATCTGAGTGGTTAACAGAAGTGTTATGGAATGGATACCATTTGAGCTGAATAATTACTTAGGTAGAATTTTACTTACAAAGACTATAGAAAAATAATTTATGATAAAATGAAACAAATGTATTGGGGAAGCTCATCTTCAAGATGAAGAACATAAATAAAGGCACAAAAATGGTAAAATGATGATGTACAGAGAACATGAACTGTAAATGTAAGTTATATTGAAAAAAAAAAGTGAAATAAGATGAGACAGGTGTACTGGGATGAAAGTTTTGAACAGATTTGGGCCCTCCCTGGTGGCGCAGTGGGTTAAAGCACAGCATTATGAAGCTAAAGCCGGTTCAACAAGAGTTCAATTCCGGCCCCGGAGGTGATCCCACATGACGAGCAGACCTCTCCTGGCCTTCTGGCTGCTCTCGTCAGCAGTGTACTTCATTTATCTGCCTGTTCTGCTCCCCACTCTCCGTCTCCGATGAATTCTCTCACTGCACCTGCACCTGTGCCCCGTACCCTAATTCTGGATGCATAATTAAATAAGTCTTTTTAAAAAAAGTTTTGAACAGATTCTAGTCTGTGGAATATGGGCAAGTATGAATTTTCAGCATGTTAAAAAAATAATAAAGCAACTAAGGAGTAAAGAAATGATGGGCGGCACTGAGCTCTTACAGAGGGTAAGAAGAAAATATTTATCTTAAGATCTAGTAGAATTATGGGGAAAGGATATTTCAGGAAGACAAAAGTAAGTTCTGAAAACTTATAGTCAGAAGCCTGTCTGGCTTATTTGAAAAATCACAAGGAAGCCAGTGTATTGCAGGTAGAACAGAAAAATAAAAGAAAAAGTAGTAGACCGTGAGCCCAGAGGAGTGAAAGAAGGACCATATTGTAAAATCTTTTAAGTCTATGATTAGAACTTGTATATTTTGGCTAAAATAGAATAGAGAGCAAGAGAGTGATATGATTTAACTTAAATCAGATCAAATAGAATATTCAAATATTTCATTAAAAATTTAAATTTAAATTCTTATTTAAATTTATACTTGGCAGAACCCTATCTTTGTAAGAGTACTAAAATTAGTCTACATAGTTGACATTTTAAAATGTCATTGAATAAAAGGAAAAGTAGAGGAGAAGCAGGATCAGAGAGACTATGGCAGCTGTACCATGCCTGCACATGTCCAAATATTTACTATTTGACCATCTAGAGAGAAATTTGGTGAAGTCCTGTCTTATACTACAAATTCACAGTACTTAGCATTTATCACTATTGAAATTAACATTAACTCATTTTTATCAAGTGCTACTATGCACCAGACACAAAATATTTGTTCTGCCATCTGAGGGAATTAGTATTATTCCCAGTCTAGAGATGAAGTGTTTAAGAAGCTGGTCTTATTTCTCAGCTAGGAATGACAATTTTATATCAGAACAACTCTTTTGCTTAGTTGGGAGTAGTAGTTTAGAAAAGCTAGTATCCATTTCATGTCATCAGAGCACAATCAAACAGTCAGGGCTTAGGGCATGAAAGAACAAGAACCTAAATTAAAAAATGAGAACAGGGCAGTCAAGAATCTAGAAAGCAGAGTAAAAACTTCCTCTGTTCTCAAAAGACAGAGACCAAAATTGGATTTTAGGGTTATTAAGACAGGGAGCATTTTAAAGACAAACCAAGATCCCAGAGAGAACAAAGAAGTAAGTTTGAATTTGCCAATTTGTAAGTGGTGATCAAGAGATGGAAAACTCAAGCAGAATTGTCACTTGATTGTTGACACATGACAGTACAGTGCAAAAAAGAAAGAATGCTTACTGTTTTTCGATAATTGGAAGTAAGTCAATGGGATGTCCATGTGAAAAGAAATCTATCAAGCTATAAGCCATGTTTCTGAAAAGTCAATTCCAGAGATATTACAGACCTAAAGATGCAAAGTAAAATAGTAACATTTCGAGGAAGTAACAGAAAAATATCTCACAACCCAAAAGGATAAAGAAAAATTTCTCAAATAGGACAGAAAAAATCAGCAAAGAGGAAATGATTGATTTTATATATGTGTAGAGAGAGAGAATTTCACCAAAAGACATACTAAGCCACAGACTGGGAGAAGACTTCCATCTCCAAAATACATTTTAAAATTCCTATTAATTGTTAAATAAAAGGTAGACAATCAGAAAAAGAAACAAAAGACCTAAATAAAGGATCTGAGTAGCTAACTAATGTGTGAAATAATCCCCAACCTAACAGTCATAAGTGAAATGAAATATTAGTACTACAATGAGATAACTTCCATAGCTTCCAGAGTGATTTCAAACAGACAAGTGATGGTTAGGATGTTGAACAATTGGAAATCTCAAACACTGCTAATGGTTAAATAATAATTGATATAACCAAAAACTTGTAAAAAAAATATAAAGGAGTGGCCCTCCCTGGTGGCGCAGCGGGTTAAAGCACAGCACTGAGAATCTAAAGCCGCTTCCACATGAGTTCTATTCCCGCCTGCCCTGGAGGTGACCACATGGCGTGGCAGACCTCTCGGGACCCGCCCGCTGCTCCCCTCAGCAGTGTAC